GGGGGGGTCTGGGAGGGCACTCACCGGCCACAGAATTGGGTCGGGGCATGAGGTACAAGGGGATGGAGTGGGCCGAGTGCGAGGACATGCTCTCCAGGCTGCGCTCAGGGATCTTGTTGAGGCTGTACGTGGACGCCGTCATGTTCTCGTCCACGCGGTATAGGAAGGAGTCCATGCCTGATTTCTGCGACTGCCACAGCTTCAGGTTGCCGCGCGAGCCCTCTGTGCCGCCGCCGCCGCCGTGCTTGCTGCCGCAGCGCTCCATGTTCTCGGAGTAGCTGGTCAGCGTGGCTGCACAGACAAATCATGCCATTTGGGAACCACGCGTGGCAGATTGACAGCGTAATCTGGGATTGTCACAACTCATTTGAAACCCTAAATTGAGACTATAACCTTGTCTTGACAACCTAACTTAAAACCCTGACCCAGGTTTGAAATTCTAACTTGAATCTCTAACCTTGGGTTGAAGCCCTCATTTGAAATCCAAATCTGAAACCTTGGTATGAAACACTGACTGAAAACTGTAACCCTAATTTGCAACCTTCACCCATACTGGAAACCCTAATTTGTCACCATAATCCTAACTCAAAACCCAATTTGAAACCATCGCCCAAATTTGAAATGATAACCAAATTTGAAACCCTAACCGCAGTTTAAAACGCTGCTTTGAAACACGAATTTGGAAGATAGATTTGGAAACTTAACCTCAATTTGATACCCTAAATTTAAAGCCTATCCTAGCCATGAAACCCTCACTAGAAAACCGAAAACAGTCTTTAAAAAAAACACATTTGAAACCTTAACCTGGAACCCTTATCCAGGTTTGAAACCCTACCCCTAACTTCAACCCCTAATCCTGGTTTGGAACCCAAATCTCAAACCTTTATCCAATGTTCAAATCCTGGTTTGAAAACATAGCCAGAGGCTTGCAACCCTAACCCTTGATGCCTAATCCTTTGCGTAAAACCCCAAATTTTACTTGAAAGCCTCACGCTCATTTGTAACCCTTAATCCTGCTTCTTTAGTATCTTCGGGACATTCGAAGGCACTCTCACCGATGATTCCGCTGTCGCGGCTCTCCAGTGTGGAGGTGGGGCTGGTGACCGAGCCGTAGGCGCACTCCCTTGTGCCCGCCTGGCCCGACATGGCGGTGGGCAAGGTAGAGCAGGGGCTTCCCGCAGGGGGTGATGCGGTGCTGCTGGTCAGCGTGGAGCATGGGCTGATGCGCTGGTTCTGGCCCTGGGGTGACAAACACACACACATACATTAAAATTGCGTTTTGAAGACGTGGATGACACCAAGATGGTCCTGACGAAGGAGCTGCGTAGAAACGCAGGAGAACACTTCCAGGAATGCATGAAAGGCTGGAAAGGTGTGTTAAGACTCCACGAAGAGAAAACTTGTCGTTCAAATTGGAAATCTATATTTTGTGACGGCGGTACTGGAACTTTTCAGCAACAACATAGAAAGAGACTCATTGTTCGTCTTCCTGCAGTGAGTCCCCAGCGTGTCAGCTCAGGTTAGCAGACCGAGCACCACGGGGGACCTAAAATATAAAGAAAAAGCGGCTGCTCCAGCTGCGAGCCCTCAGACGCACCCGAGCATAAAAAATTCATGCACGTGTATGTGAAGTGTGTGGAGATCTCCGCTGAGAGGAGAGGAAAGGTGAAGTGGTGCTCAAGGCTACATCCACCTGACTGTGGAACACATTCGTGATAGTTGCACATGACATATATCCACAAACTGTAAGCTACTACCAACTCGACATGCTCAACATTTCTCCATTACTCATCTCAAAAACTAAACTAACAAGGAAGCACGGAATATTTGCATGTTATTCTTGTCTGCTAGCTTAAACCAAGGAAACCTCGGTTGGTGACTTGCGAGGTCTTGGCTGGGAAAATATCCCAAGATGCATTTGGTGCCACTGTCCAAACGGCTATGGAGAGAACTCACGTTTATAAATGTGTTTTCCCTTTTGTCATTTTACGGAAATACAGTGACCTACATTGACCTTGACGACCTATGCTAACAATGCTGTGAATGTGATGAAACGTCATCACAACTGCGGAGCTGTGAACAAATTACAAACATCCTCCCGACAACAATACAACATCAACACAAGCAAAATAAGTCACATTTATCCCGCTAGCTGTTTAATCTTACATGATCGATTTTTGACACGGAAAACGAGCAGTCCTGTAATGCCATACGATGGTAGCGATGGAGCTTTACGCAAATGCTAACATCCCTATTCCAACTTGGTCCAGCTCAAACAACATTAACACAAGCAAAAAAAAAAAAAAAAAATGTATATATATATAAAATATAGCATGATAGCATAAGCATGCTATGTTAACTGCTCTGTGGTAGATGTGAAGCTTTGAGAGAAACAGCTACATCACTACACTGGGTACTGGCAGCTAAATGTTCATCACACTAAGCGAGCTAATACCAGCAATCACTTAATATTTTAGTTTATGATTTATTTATCAGTTTCACGGGCATGGTGTTTTTGCGAGGCAAAGCAGTGTGCTCGACATGTTTACATTGTACTTAAGGGCAGGTAAGCGAAACAAGACGAGCGTACACGGCGTGCAGCAGGCGGCCGGCGTGAGTCACATCTCTTAAAAAAGAGGCGCTTGAATCAACCTCTCTCGCTCTCTACACCCCCGCCGTGACAGCACCGCTCATTTCAAGCAGCAGTTGGTCCATCACACAATGCTATTATTTCCACACGTACTGTACCTGTGCAAAACGTGACGCAGTACAAGTGGGGTTTGTCGAATAAGCGTCAAATAGGAGTCGATTCCTTGGGCACAACAACACGTCATGCTCAGCTATGAAGTGATTTTTTGTTTTTTTTTTTGTTTTTAAAGTATTAGTTAGTCACACAGATACTACGACTTCACAATTTACAGTTCACATTCAATTGTCAATCGGAGGTTTGAAATCAATAGTACGTTTGCAAAATGCAATGCGATACAAGTGGGGTTCGGAGAGGAAGCCTTTATGAGTCCAATAAAGGTTCAGTGTATTTGGCCGTAAAAATCAATGAGCTATTTAGAGTATCAATTGGTCTTTTGAAATCAAACGGCATTATTTCCGCATGAACCTGTCCAAAATGTGACTTGATAAAATCAGGATTCGAAAAAGCTTTTATTCGTCGGGAAATAAAGGCTTAGTCTATTCCTTTGGTCACATAGATAACACAATCAACACCTCGTGCTTTACTAGCGCAGTTTTGAAATTAAATGCCATAATTTTCTCATGTTTGTGCATAATGGGGGGGGGGGGTGTTTCGAGAATTAGCCTATTTTAATTTCATAATAACAGCTTATTGTATTATTTGGCCACAAGCTCCTATGACATAGAGAGAACACATTCAACTATTGAGTGGAATTACAAAAGCAAGTGTTACCACCATGTTCAAACAAACAAACAAACAAAAATCACTCTTTTCAATATCATTATGTCGGGATGAAAGGGTGTCAACTTATGAGAATAAAAAGATTTATGAGTTTTCAAAGATAAATATGCAATTATATATTAAGATGTTAAAGAACATTTTTTAAAGGGAAGAAAGTCCTATTTTAAACTGTGTAACGACTGTTTCAAATCTTTATGACTCCCAAGCTACTGTGACATCATCATACTGTTATGATGAATTAGTTATGTAAACAACAGTCCATATTCAGCCTTGCTGTGAGTCCGACAAAGCATCCAACAATGACCTCAAGTCAACGGGTGATTTGAATGGTGTTTTGCATCCTACCTGTGGGTCTTTCAAAATAAGAGTCACTTCCTCTCACCTGTCTGGCCTCGGGCTCCTCCATGCTGTAGTGGGGACCGGCTGGCCCCTCGCTCGCTTTGTCTCCCAGAAGGAAGCCCAGGCGCGTCATCAATGTGTTGGCGGCCTCATCCACCGTGGGAGGGGGGCCCAGCTCCTGGCTCGACTCCCCTGCGGAGGCGGCGGGAAGGAGAGAAGAGAGGGAGAATGAGTGTTAGGTGGCGGGGGGGAAATAAGAGCAACAAAGCAGATGCTAAAATAAGAGGCGACATGTCCACCTGGATGCATCGCACCCACATCCCGCCCTCGCTGCCTGGACGTCTTAAACAAAGTCCAAAATGCCTTCATTCACGAGCCTTTCGAGAGAAGCAAACGTCACTCCTGCCTACTCGTGGACAGCCGCTCCTCTTCTGCGACAACACACGCCCGACGTAACAAGATACGCCGCTCACCTGTTTGACGACGCCAGACAAAAGCGGGCCAGGCGACGCCCTTCTGTCCTGTTTGCACACGCTCTTTGCGGCAACGAGGGAAAGAAAAAGCTCCACCCTCCCCAAAAAAACGTAAAACAACAACATGTGGCGCTTTGACCTACTGTAAATGCTGACATCCGTATTCCCAAACAGGCAACATCAACACAAGCACCTCACGTTCTGTGAACAGCGGTATCTTGTTTCACAAGTTGAATTTGTTCTGTAACAAAGCTCGTAACTGAATGCACCTTCATTTTTTTTAAATAGTTTAAATTCTAGCCAACCAAAAACAACAGTTCTATTTTAAAACAAATAGCACTGCATTGTGTAGAAGAAGAACAACAACAAAAAAGAAGGTAATGTGAAGATTTATTAAACATATGGATTTTTTGAGCGCAATTCTGATATTTGCGATGATGAGAAACCATTAAACGGATGATTAATTAAAAAATAGAAATATACTTTGTATAACTAACAATACTCTTCTGTCCCTTTGGACCTCCAACAATAAAGATAAGAATTACAGTCAGTGCCTTTGATTTTTATGATACCTTGGCAAAAAAAAATAATTATGGATAGATGTGTTCAATAAAAAGGCGTGGCCGTCGTGACGTCACGAGCTGGAGTCGCTTCGTCTGCCTGTGAGTGCCTAGGAGTGAGTTGCAGCCTACACCAGTTGCTTGCGAGTGTTCTCATTTTGCATTCGTGTCTTTTAACTGTTGCCTGTCGTGTTCAATAAACGGCTGAAAGTGCATCGGCGCACATGCAAGGTCATTACAGTATCTTAATCGCTCCTTTTATTTCACGTCACTTGAGTGGAGTGGCTCGTACTTCAAATTTTGGCTTCCACTAAGTGAAAGGCTCATCATCGGGGGGGAAAAAATGGATTTGCTACCGCAATCTTAATTCAACCCGACAATATGCGATGCTAACAGTCCTGTGATGCTACACTGAGTTAGCCACGCAGCTTTGAGCTAAATGCTGACACACCATTCCATCCAGCCATTATCCAAACCGTTTATCCTCACGAGGGTCGCGGGTGTGCTGGGGCCTATCAGAGCCCATCCTAACATGCACAAAATATAGTTGCTGCGAAATGCTAATACCTCCCTGCTAACACGCCCACAATGACAATAACAACACATTAGGAAAGGCCAATGGTAAAAAAAAATAAAAATAAACCTCTTACTGTAGTTATTTTCCAGCCGCCTTCCTTATTTACATGCTATCATATTAGGTCATTAGACTGCAGCACGCCCCTCCAGGTTTCCTTCACTCCCTGGAGTGTTCCCGAGCCGAGTGGCTGTAATTGGATGAACGATCGGGACGGTCTGAACTTAAATAAACAGCGGAGACGCTCACTTCGCTTCCTCTGTTGTCATCGTTTTCCAGCGAGGCAGGTCAGACCAGACCGGCAGGTAATTGCAGTGTCCGTTAGACAGAAGGCTGAATAATGTCATGTCATGACATTAGACGAAGCCCCATGTCTAAATAAACAGGCAGTTTTAATCTTAAGAGGCGAGAAAACCAACATCAAATCAAGAAATTCAACCTTTGGGACTTGTTAAGCCCATCTCAGGCCTGAGAAAGCCATTTTCAACAAAACATGAGATAAACTTTTGAACTCGTAACATTTTGATGTGGGCTGTGTGTGATTTTATAATAACATTTGCGAAAAACATGTCCCAAAATGTTCTTTACTTCTGCTGAAATTTAGTCATAAATATTATAATAAACAAATGAAGGAACAATTATGTAACAGTCCGGGGCTATTACGATACAAGGAACATATTAGGTAAGGGACAGCAACTGTAAATGCCCGCCGCTCGAGTCGCATACCTACTCCGTAAAACAACCACAGTGCAGCTCAGTTTCTGGAAGGCAAACACCTTCTCGAAGCGCTGTTACCATTGTACAAAACTATTTTCCTCTTGGCGCATCTTCAAATGGAGTCGCAGCAGTAAGTCATGCCATTGCGAGTCCTTGAAAAGCATAACTAGTCACATGTTTGAAACTTTTACTGACCTGCTTTGTTCATTGCCTAAGAAGACAAACTGGTTTGTTTCCATTTAAAGATAATTAAATCTTTTACGATTGACACAAGCATGTTCTTTCCCTTACTGCGCTGAATGTGAACTCAACTAAAGTACGTTCCCAAGTAAGATTTTTTTTGTTATTCGCCACCATGAAACCAAATAAAACATCCTCGCCACAAATACGGAGGCATGAGAGAAAACAAATGACAGTGCCCTCAGTCCAAACTTTAAGGCCTTTTTTTTTAGCCAGTTGGAGGCCTAAAGCCATTTCTGGAAAAGACACAAACTGTGATGTTGTCAGTCTAGCTAGCTAGTACGTTATCATAACTCAAGTCACCGTTAGCATTTGCTGACAGACTACACAAAGTCGATAGGATTTGAAAACCTCAACCAGACCTCGGCCAGCACCAAAAAAGTGGAAAGCCTAATTCAAAGCACACTTTTGTATCGAGACTCATGCAGTGATGTTTCCTTATTTTTTCATCACGATAATGAGATAATGACGAGCTAAACGTGGCTCTTTGATGACAAAAATATGACCTGCCGTATGTTTTTATTGACGAGACGAAAGAGAGAGCATTAAAAAAAAAAATCAGTTTTCTCACATACCAAAAAATATGTAGGGTTCAAATTGTTGTTCGTTTGTCACGAATAAACCGATACTATGTTGTGAGTTTATGTGGCGCGCTCTTCAACGCTATCCTGAGCTCTTCCAACTCACACACTTCCCATTTTGCAAAGAAAATCATCGCGCGAACTTCTAAGCAAGTCAAGCGGATGTCGTCCCATCACCGCGATGCCTCCCGGCTCCCTAATGGCCCAACGTGAGCTTATGAAAACACACACGCGCACCCGCTCCCCACCCGCTGGATTCCTGAGCTGCAAAAGGGGAGACAGATGGTTGCCATGGCAACTATCTTTCACCACACAGCTCGGAATGCGTGTCCGTGCATTCCGGGAAAAGCGGATTAATAAAGGGAAAACTGTTCAGTTTTCACCTGGACACAGAGCAAAAAAAAAAGTCTGATGGACGAGGAACAGCGGGGAAAACAGACGACACCGAATTCAATTTTCCCAATACTTTGCACGCCAAAAAAAGCAGCGTGGTAGATAATCGGGAACATCACTTTCCTCTGATATTATCTGTTTTCTCAAAAGTTTCATTCACCCGTGAAGGCTCTGCGTGTTCAATTTCAAATTGGAAACGATTGACATGAATGGCAAATATTTTAGTTAGCACAACAAGTTGTTTGCTCCAGAATTTGCCGAGTTGCTTTTACTTCAATCTTGAAGTTTTGGGAAGAGTGCACGGAACAATTTAGTTGTGTAAACTATTTTTCCTTTGTTGTGAATGGCAGGGAAAGCTAATTTTCCCAAGAACAACACTTTGAAAAAATATTGTAGTCAATTGCTCAACTTAAAATTTTATTGTTTTGAGGTCTTGAAACTTTGAATTCACTCAGCTTTTATTTTATTTTATTATTACAGTCACTACTGTGTTCAGCCACTGGAAGTCCAAAGGAAAACATGTTTTCTTTTTTTTTTTTAAGTTGATGCCAAATGCAGCACGAAAAAGCCAAAGCAAATAAAAAGCAAAAGACGCGGAACACGAATAAAAAGATATGTTGCAATGCTTTGTCAGTTATTTCATGAATAGATCCAAATGGATGATTAGCAAATACGCTGTGACAGTTTACACCAGCGACAGCGACGGCGACACAACATCTGATCCATTTGGCAGCAACACTAAAAAAAAAATCCCACAGAAGCTGTTCAAAAATATTATTATGGGTCACATGCTCTTGGATCCAGAAAACTTTCGAGCGTAGATGCATCCTTGCCGCTACCAAATTTCCACTCTGTCCATTCCTTGGCATTTTGTTCACAAAAGACAAAAGCGGCGATGACTCAACGCTTTTGTCTTCCAATCTATGATGCCAGGGAATCAAGTGGCTGCCGCGTAGGATGCTTTTTTTTTTTTTTTTAAAATACTACTCATCCCAGGGCCCCTTTGTTGGGGTTCAAATCAATATACCAGTATGTATGACCGGTTTTGTCGTCCTTTACCACAAAGGCCCACAGTGGACTTTTCCTGCTACACTCCCGTGTGTTTCAGCTTGGCCACATTTAGATATAATTACACATACGCACACATGCACACGCGCACACACGCACTTGTGAAAACAATACCAGCCACTTGCGGCTACCCTGTGCGGTTTTCTCTTATTGTTACGTGGTGATGAACCCTCGAGACTGATTTCTATTGTCCATGCCTGCATCCATCCACGCTCGTGCTAACATGAAGCATAAAACTGCCACTTGAGAGCTGGAACAAAACGTTTGCAGTTATCTGACCTTGTGCTTTCATACAGCATCGCGCATGTCGTTCGATCATGTCGAGACGAATTCCCTTACGACACACGGTCAACGTCGGGTTGTGTGTGAACGGGAGCAACGTGGAACTGGTGTGGAGGTGGATCCTCACTTTGACCACCCCGTTGCGTTGAAATGCAATGACTTATCGCACGCATATTCCACCTCATTGGGTTTCGTGTGAAAGGCACAGTCTCTTGTCACGCATTTTATTGCGATGATTTTGCCGAAACTCTAAAAAAAAAAAAAAGAAGTGCTGACTCATGAAAGGGACCAAATCTCTAGCAAGTATCCGAGAAGTCACCAAATAAAACAAGTGACACGATCTGGCACACCAGCAGGTGTTAAGTCGACACCCTGCCGTGACTTGCGCCAGGAAACGCTGGTTAAGAGCTAGATGTCCATCTGTCTGCCTAGGAAATAAAAAGCCTGACTCGCCCGCCGCCTACCCCCCTCCCGCCGCTTTCTGCGGTTCTACCAAAGACCCAGACGCCATCGCATTTGGAATCAAGCGCTATCTTCGCTTCAGTGGCGCCATTGATTACCTTTCCCAAAAGTGTCGCATCTGCAGTAACTCGCAGAGGCGGGTGCCTGATCCTACTCAATTTGGGGTTGGGAAAAATGCACACTAAAGATACAGGAAAAGGTCAATGGATCAGAAATGAGACAGTATTAACGGTATTGTGATATCACAATTAAGAGTAAAGGGATCATGCTTATTGCCGTGTCGCGAGTCGAAACATTGGGTACGCTTGTACTCTAATGAGAGCACATTGTTTCAATTACTGGGAAAATATTGTATGTAAAATACTAAACATGACCAAAATCTCAGATTTAACTAGGAAAAAAGAAACTACAAAATATCGAGAAAAATCGGAAATCATTACCCCAAAAATACACAAAAATGCTAGGGAGGAAAGGTGACAAAAATATTACATGAAAGTAAACAATTAGATGGAAAAAAATTAATAGAAAAATATCAGAAAAAAATGAAAATATAATAAAATAAATTGGGGAAAATTATTTAAAAAAAGAATATAGGGGGAAACATGCTGGATGAAAAATGCACATTAAAGAAAATATTTCCAAAAAATAAAAATAATGCAATAGTTCATTGAAAAAACAGACAGATGGACTACTATATTTTAAAAATACACAAATACTAGAAAAAGAATGCAACATTTCTGGGTTAAAAATTAAAAAAATATGGAATATAATATTTCAAAAATATTAGAAAACCGTGAAAACTTTAGAAATGCACAAATAAAAGGCAAAAATTGCAGACCTATTAGATGCCAAAGCAAAAACATCAGACATGAATATTAGGGGAACATTTGTTGAAAAATACACAAACACTCAACAACAAAAAAAAAATAAATAAAACATAGACGAATGAAAACTAATTGTCTCCTTGCAGTGCAACAGCACACCAGAAGGCAAAATTCAAAAAGCAGCTACTCCTCTCCAAGATGCTAAACACGGTATTGACGACACTTACAACTGGAAACTAATAAACGAAAAAACGGTTTCATCCTTGCAATGCATCTGTCAAGACCACCTACTTGGAGCCCCCACTGGGCACAGGCTCCACAGGAGAGGCTGGCAAACCGAAAAGTCCACCATTTTGTCGCTAAATTGTGTCGATCAAGACCTCGGAGCGTCACATGTGTCTACATCCACACAGAAATCGAAGCATATCCTCCAGTGACCTGCTTAAGCGGGCCGGGCAGGACGGAATGGAGGGGGTGGGAGGGAGGGTGTCGACCGGGATATACGTTTGACGAAGACCGGACTGGAGTGCGGATTACAGACTACTCCAGGAAGAGGAGCCGTGTGAGATTAGGAGGACGAATATTTAACATTTCACATTCCTCGTGCCATTAAGCAACGCTTTCCCTCTTCGCTTCTGTTCGGGCAACGCGACAAAAGCCGACATGCGGGAAAGGGGGCGGGAGGGCCAGAAACTTACCTGGGCACAATCTATCCAGGTGGGAATTCCAGGCTGGGTCGGGGGAGCCGAGCTCCGATTGCGGAACGCGAGGGCTCTCCACGAACTTTGCTTTCCGCAGAGGGGCTGGGAGCAGACAAACACACACACATAGGGAGACAAGGCACACACAGACACACGTATATATATTAGGGAGATGGAGGGGGAGACAAGGGGGTGACAGAGAGCTTGTAAAGCAGCAATTTTACAATCGATTCAAGACAAACCACTCAGACAAACCTCCATCGACAATACATAGACAGGCTTGTTTAGAAATAATAAGAGGTTGAAGCGCACCCTGTCAATCTCAATTGTTCATCTTAGCAAGATATATTGGACACTTTTGTGGGGAACATTTGGGGGAAATTATTTTCTGATCCAACAAAGCAATGAACTTGGTCAAAAAGCAAGCAGATCATTTCCAATGTGTGTGACTTCACAAATAGACAGACAAAAGTTCCCAGAATCTTCCCAAAAGAGTGGAAGCTTGGGTAACAACTTCCTGGTGGCGTCCCAATACTTATGTCAATATATCGCGCAATTTATGTACCTTTGTGTGTAACTTTTTACAACATTAGTCCTCCAACATCAACATGAATCACAGCTGAAAATGGGGCATGAGTGGAGTTCCACAGGGATATGAATGAGGTCCAGGTTTGCTTTCATAACGGATGAACATAAAATGTCGCCGATATGGAACAACAACGTCAACAAAGTCCCAAGTAGCAACGTGACACAGCTATGAGAGGAGTCTGCAAACTAAAGTGCCAGTTCCGCAGCATTGTTGAGTCAGCAGGGCGAATTTTGCGAGCATGCGTCGGCCCGCCGCTGCCATCTGCCTTCAAAATGTGTTCACGAGCGTGTTTACTCCAAATGTCTGGCTTTGACTGAGCGCACAAACACGGACTTTTGTGCAAACAGACATGAGATGAGTTGCTCGAAACGAGCGGCAATGAGCGGAGCGAGATGGGCTCATTCCTCGTTTTCTACTTTGTATTTTGAAAGCGGGCCAGACGCGAGCGCATCTGGACACCTTACAGCTGTGGTGAACTGCCTAATTCCATGAATGAATACTGAAAAGGCATGCTCCTCGATAAACAGCGCGTGATAGATTTCGTAGGAAGCTCAAAGCTTTCCGCATCACCACAGGCACAAATGGGCTGCTAGCTACTTGCAGGCGAAAGTTAGCTTTGTTGTGTTCATGTCACATTATCATCTTTGAACGTGCAATGATATTTGGCTGGTATTTTTGTCTCACTTATGTAATAGTAAAGGCCATTCTTTTTTGCTAATATGGCAAAAATGTGTCCAAATTATAAAATGCACTATAAAGTCTTGTCAAATAAATAAATACAAATTACGATTATAATTCACTTTGTGACTAAACTTGACGAAAACCTTTTGGAGTTTTTGTTGATTCAAAGTGGACGAAAAGTTTTTGTGGATTCCTGTCATGATAAACATCCTCCCAATCCAGCGCCTATCAGTCAAGCTGGCATTTCACAGCCAGAGAACGATGACTGCTTTGATGTTTTGCGTGCACAGTAGCTGCGGTGGCACATGACCAGGAAGCAGCAGCAAAACAGCTTTGCCTCAATCCACTTCGATTTGGACTTATCCCGATAAGCTCCTCTCTCTTGCAGGCGCGGCGAAGAGCCAGCGGCGACTCGTATCGCGCATCCGCCCTCGCCACCGACCGAGCGCGCCATCAGCGTGCGGCGTAAACTGGAGATTAGCGCGTTTGTTTTGTTTCTCTGCCGGATTTTCACCTGTGTGAAAGGGTTGCGGGAGCGACCATCTATCCCCACGAGTAAATCCTCTGCGCGGCGTCGGCTCCCGGCGACTTAAATCTGGCGGATGTACGGTGGCGTTGTCTTGTGAACGCGCGCCAAGCCGAGGATGGCTGACAGTGTTGATGGATGGCAGTGGTGCAAATCCACTCCTCTAATGAGCTTATGAATAACTACACCTACATTGTGGGTACATCAATGCACATGCTGCACGGAGTGAACGCTAATACGGTGAAATGATAACTACATTTGGTAACTTGAGGCGAACCCCCGTTTATTATGAGGCATACGTTCCAGATGCGATGGCAAACAGGTGAAAATCTGCGACATTATATATATCCATACATAAACATATATACTGTACACACACACACACACACACACACACACAAAGCTAAATCTAATAAATACAGCAATTCTGAAAACCCGTTCTAAGAACTAACTGAAACCAGCTGAATTGTAAAACGAATAAGTCATACGAAAAAAAAATAAAACTACAAAGTCTGTGATATGGCAGAGACGTGTGACAACATTTTGTACTCTTTACAATAGGAGATACTCTGCACACATTACTCTACTTGCCATTATTTGTCTTTTTTTTTTTGGTTCGCGTTCAGACTGTTTCATCTAAAAGGCAACATATTTGAATCCATAAAACCTTAAAATGCAAATAGTAAGATTTGAATTGAGTGTGTTGGTCACAAAAGATCCTTGGCAAATAGGTCTGTACAGATTATTATCATTTGTAATGTGTTGTTTGGGCATTGCTGTCGTTTTGAAGGCCATCAATTCACTTGAAAGTGAAAGCAACATGACACAATTCATCAACACTAATATTGCGATTCAATGTAAACAGAACGGACTCCGTTTTAACCCTTGCGGCTTATCTGATTGACATATTCCTCGATCCCAGGAGCCTCACATTCTCATCTCAGCTTCTCCTTAATTTAAATTTCATATCGTATTATACCCATAATTCCTCAAGGGAAATTCAGGGTGCACTCTGCTGTATATTTCGAGCGACACACCACATGGCGAACCCGATCAGACATGCAGGCTCGATGTTGAAGCACTTCCTGTTCACATGGTTCAACCGCATGTTTTTGAGCGATATACAGTTTTTCACTGATCATTTGTGATATATTTACAGTAGAGTTTAGCTCTGAATACAAGCAATTATAATTATTTAGGTGCGCCATTTGTGGCAGAGCTCTGAACCAAAAGCCCCATGAATTGATCAGATTAATGTGTGTGTCTTACAAATCAAAGATGAGATTGTTTCGGTTTTTTTTTTTAATTTAGTGGGTGCCAGTTCGATACCGATGCGCTCAACTGACCGAATTTTACGTTAATTGCTTTCAAAAACACGACGAAACATTGACAACCTTTTTTTTTTTTTTGCAATGCATCAAGTGACCCCCAATGTGAAGTACAAGCAACGGAATGGAAAGAGCATCGTGTTAGAGCGGCGAGCACGTGGAGAAAACGTGTACCATCGCTCAACCAGCACCGAGACACACACAAACATACGGACAATAACAGCTCATGAAAATATGTTCTACAAAAGGTTTCCAGTTTCACTGGAGGGAAGTCATGGTCACATGCTCCCCAAAAAAAAAGTCATTTCGGTGACGGCAGGCGTGCAAATAAATAAATAAACCAATATGCTCGCATTTTAGAAGACGTGACACGCTCATTAATTCAATTTGGCCGCATGAAAACAAACTGTGGTGTGACGCGACGTCATCTGACGTCCTTCGGCGTCGTGGCTTCGACATTATTGTACACGACAGCTCGTGGAAGACCGCCACTAGCCACACTCGCATATCTTTATCTCAAGTTTGCTTTGAATAGCAATCCCCAAAATAGACACAATCTTTAGTTCGACCAGCTTCAAAAAACTCACAGCCTTTCATTTATGTAACATACGTGGTATGGACCGAATTTGAGGATATACAAATGCATCTCAATAACTACAGGAGAAAAAGTTTATTTACTTCAGTAGTTCAACTCAAACTTTTATTGAATTGATGCTAACATATGGCTAACCCTGTCACTGCTAGTCCGAACGTTGATGCGGAGTGGAGTTCCAATGTGTTCTTCCGATTTTGTAAATTGGATTATTTTCACGACTCCATTTCCAACCTAACTGCTGTCATAAAAAAAATAAATCAATCATGAAATAAAATACTTGAACTGTTTCTTCTCCTCACTTTGACTGAACTCCAAAATCCGATTAGCTCTTGGAGAAGTCGCGTGCTTTGTTGCATGAGTTTCACTTTTTGAATTGAACCGCAAAATTATAATGTACGTAAGATTCAAGTATGTACTGTTTGTCCATACTTATAAGACGTTGCACTGACGGGGCTCAAATTGCCAAAAAGCAACCATGCAGAGCAGATGTTGTTGCAGCTCGTGGAAGTCCATTAGCCAGACTGCCTCTTCCAATTTTTATGTAAGCTCACGTACGTGTGTGCGTTCGTGTGTGTGTGCGCGCGCAATGAGTATGCGTGTATCAATCATCGCCGCCTTGGGAGGATTATGCGAGCAAGGTGAAGCTCAGGCAAAATTTTAAGAAGGCGGAGGGGCGGCGCATATTTGCTAAGAAGGCTCATTATCCCAAAAAAAAAAAAAAATAGCATTATTACGAGGCCAGCGTGGCGTCTAATGATACTAACGCTCCACCGGCAAATGGAAGGAGGAATGTGAGGATGTCGTCAAAGGAATTCTTGAGTCACTGACAACAGTCTGGCTTGTCCGCCTTCACTTGACAACATGAGGTTGACTATGTCGTGGCATATCAAAAGCGAACAAGAGTTTTGTACAACAACACGTGTAAGTAGAAAAAAGCAAGTCACAAAGCACAAGACATGGTTCGACCATGAAATGTTTTTGCGGCCCAAAAATCTTGTTTTCAGTCAAGCTGAAATGATGTCAAGGTGACTTTGTCGCTGTTCTGAAAGAGCCGTATTACAATGCGGACTTTTAAGATGGCGAAGCCTTGACCGAGTGACATTCTGATCCGAGATTTATTGTACTCCCTTTTACTCGCAACTGGGAAATGGTGATCACTGAAGAGTGATCTTTTGCCGCCGGCCGATTCCCGAGGGTCTGCTATCTCGTGACTCGGCGGCATTTGTACTTGCGTGGAAGATAACGAAGCCTCTACTGAGCGACATTCAAATGACGGTTTCTCACGCCATTGTCGGTGAAGTGCACACTTTGCTCGCAACGGGAAATTGGGATTGAACTGCCGTCTTTTGCGGCCGATTCCTTCGGGTCAGCGGCGTGAAGATG